GCTAACCTCGGGTGTTGTCTGTTCCGAGCAATTTTAATTAATTACTTTTAAACATTCTAATTGTTTTTTTGTTTAATAAAATATGATTTTAAAAACTCAGAACGTCTATCGAACGTGTCTTTTGTTTACTCGCGATATTTTCTGAACTAGAAAATACTCTCCTACTTGCGACCTATATATGCCTAATTGTTTTTAACGCCTGATATAATAATTCTAAGTTTTTTGTTCTTTAATATGTGGCTTCTTTTTTAAGTTTGAGTAGTGGATGTTACTTCTTCAAGAAGAAGTCACACTGATTTAAATTAATATATACACTGGTATAAAAATCTATATCATTATATACAAAACCTTTCTGAGAACCATTACAGTCTTATAAGATATAAAATGCTATTGAACCGATATGATTTCAAGAATCAAAACGCTTTCATCTATCTTTTATATTTGGCTATATTTGTTATTTTCCATTTATACAGTGAAAACCGACTTTTTTCACTAAAAAACCGGTTTTCTAATTCCATAATTTTCACCGAAAAACCGGTTTTTAAGACCGGTTTTTGAAAACCAACAAACCCTAGCTGTAAGGCTGGTTTTCTGGTGGTTTACCTGCCAGATCCAGTAGATGTATAGTTGCTTTTGTCAGTACTGGATTTGTATACACCAGGGACTCACAATAAATATATATGGTGAATATTGCATTCGCCTTGTGTGCAGGTTTGTGTGAACACGTTTCATCAGTCTTTCTGCGAGCTTCACCTACAAAAAAATTAACAACGTACAATGTTCCAAAAATAAATTAGTTGGTATTGGGATTTTGCCTTGAGGCAAGTTACATGAACTTCCCCCAAATGTGTAAATAATCGACTTAATCAATGAAAAATAAATTAATTTATGAGTGATTAAAAGTATTCCGAGTGGATTTATTACAAATAATTGAAAACGAACGTACACGTTAAATCGGAATATTTTCTAAAAGCAAATTTTCAAAAATCAATATTTTTTTAATTGAACCAGTTTCCGTAGGACTTTAATGATTTATTACGTTTATTAAGACCAAGTATTCTATTGTTATACCAAGTAAATCGTCTAATTTAATTGTAACATTCGTCAAGAAAACTACTCATTTTCTCAAACTTTGATGAATTTTTAAAATTAAACTACTTGTCGTAAGGCCGTAATATTTCAGTAAGTTCTATAAGTCCATGCTATATATCCCCCCCAAAAAGTTCCATAAAAATCGGCACCAATTTTTTTTCAACAGTTAATTACAAGAAAACGGCTCGGTAGATTTTTACCTAAAACTAATCAGTATCATTCCCAACCAATATCTTTCGAACAGTTTTTGATTTTTTAAAATCGGTTCGGTAGTTCGAGGTTAAATGTGGACGAAAAGTTTAACACTTTTTTTCAAATTACAAAGAAACGGCTTAGCAGATTGTCGCACAAATCTGACAAATGATAGTCCTCATCGAGATGCATCAAATGCCTTTTAAATTTCTGAAATCGTTTCAAGCGTTTTTGAGAAAACGTCGATCAAAGGTCTAATTTTGACAAATGCCAAAAAACGAAACCAATTTTTGCAAACTTTGATGAATTTTTGAAGTTAAACTAGTTGTCGTAGGACCATGATATTTTAGTATAATCTAGAAGACTATAATAATATAGAAAAAAATAATAATAAAAATCGTCTAAAATTTTTTTTTAACACTTTATTACAAGAAAACGGTCCGGCCGATCTCTACCAAAAACTAATTAATATCTTTTGAATTTTCAAAATCGATTCAGAATTGCGGGCTTAAACGTAGACGAAATTTTTTTCACTTTTCTGCGATTTACAAAGAAACGGCTCGGCCGATTGTCGCACAAAACTGACAAACAACAGTCCTTATCGGGATACATGGAATGGCTTTTACATTTTTGAAATCGGTCCAGCCGTTTTTGAGAAAACATGGATTTACGGCAAAAAATATGTTCACACACACACACATACACATACTTTTTCCAAATTTGGTCTCATTCGATTCAGAATGGCTTGAAACGTCGAGAAAACGGATTTTTTGATGAAAACAAACTTCTCCGGGAAGTTAAAAATCAATTTTTATCACTTTACCCAAAAACAGCAATCTCCAAGCCTCATACAACTCGTGCACTTTACAAATATTGACGCCCTCAAACCACTTCTCCCGCACGCCTCTGGTCGTAGCTCTTTTGCAACGTTTCGGATACCCATCACAGTCATCATCACAGTCTTTTTTCTTTTTTCCTGTTTTTTTACGTTCTTCTGAACAGGGTTTGAGCAAATCGCACCACGTCCAATCGTCCAATTCGATGAAACTTATACGAAAGGCGACTCTGGCCAAATTTTTGTCACAAAGATCTTGTTTGGCTTTGAAAAGATCGGAGATTAGGCGGAATGTGATGCCGCGATTTTGGTAGTCGCATCTGGAGTTGGTCAGGGTGAAAGATTTACCTGTGAAAAAATAATAAGTAGTTGAATCTGTGTAATTAAATTTAATTTTAAATGGTTTCTCAATTTACCTGAATTGGTTTGTCCATTGCACATTATGAGAACGTTGTTCCCTTTTAGGGCAGAATCTATGACTCCATTTGTACTGCAATTATAAACTTCATCTTGTGTTGAATCCTGTAAAGATACGTTTTTCTGGTGATAATTGGGTAAAATGATAAAGTAACTGGTGATGTTTGCAGAAAAATTAAGGAAAACCTTGTCAATTCAGTTGAGTTACAATTATCAATATATATTATTAACTTCCCGAAGGAGAAGTTTATGTTTTCATAAAAAAATCCGACTCGCTAATTTTTCTCGACGTTTCAAGCCATTTTGAATCGAATGAGACCAAATTTGGAAAAAGTATGTGTGTGTGTGTGCGTGTGTGTGAACAGATTTTTTTTGCCGTAAATCGACGTTTTCTCAAAAACGGCTGGACCGATTTCAAAAATTTAAAAGCCATTCGACGTATCTCGATGAGGCCTATCGTTTGTCAGTTTTGCACTACGATCGACCGGGCCGTTTCTTTGTAAATTGCAGAAAAGTGAGAAATTTTTCGTCCACGTTTTAGCCCGTAATTCTGAATCGATTTTGAAAATTCAAAAACCGTTCGAAAGATATTAGTTGGGAATCGTGCTGATTAGTTTTTGGTAAAGATCGGCCAGGCCATTTTCTTGTAATAAAGTTTACACAAAAAAAAAATCGACGATTTTTATGATTTTTTTTTTGACGGTAGATACCATAGTCTTGTAGATCATACTAAAATATTTTGAACAAGTCGTTTAATTTTGAAAATTCGTCAAACTTTGCAAAAATTAGTATCGTTTTTTGGCATTTGTCAAAATTAGACCTTTGATCGACGTTTTCTCAAAAACGCCTGAACCGATTTCAGAAATTTAAAAGGCATTTGATGTATCTCAATGAGGACTAAAGTTTGCCAGTTTTGTGTGACGATCTGCCGAGCCGTTTCTTTGTAATTTGAAAAAAAGGACTTTTCGTCCACATTTAACCTCAAACTACCGAACCGATTTTGAAAAATCAAAAACTGTTCGAAAGATATTAGTTGGGAATGATACTGATTAGTTTTAGGTTGAAACTGTTGAAAAAAAAAATTGAAGCCGATTTTTATGGAACTTTCTTTGAAATTAACACAATACCTAAGTGCAACTGTTTTTTTTTCAAAATTTTTATATAGTAGTGTATAAAGCTATGTATATGTAATCGTAGTAAATTTCATCTAGTTTATGCTGAGCTAACTAAAAAAGAACAAAATTCTCGAGTTATTTGACAATATTTGAAAAAGTACCTCAAATTATTAAAATTCATAAAGCAAGTTCATACTATGATTTTGTTTCTCAAATTTCTTGTACCAAAGTGTATGAAGCTGTGTATATGCAAATTCAAGAAATTTTATCTAGTTTCTGCTAAGCTAAATTAAAAAGTCTGCCCAAAACAAAATTTTCAAGATATTTAATCAATTGCAGAAAGTGTCTTAAATTTAAATGGTGCAAATTTTCAAATACATAAGAGTGGGTTCAAACTTGATTCATTTTCTCAAAATTTTTTTACCAAAGATTATAAAACAGCTTATGTACAAATGTAGTAAACTTTATCTACTTTTTGTTACTTTAATTAATCAAGGGTGTACGGAACAAAATTTTCAAGTTATTTAAAGAAATATAAATATTTTTTATATATATTATGGTCTTATAGAACTTACTTAAATATTGCGGCCGTACGACAAGTAATTTAATTTAAAAAATTCATCAAGTTTGAGAAAATGAGTAGTTTTTTTGACGTTTGTTAAAATTAAAATTAGACGATTTACTTGGTAATGATTTACCTGAAATAGTCCATTGCTTTGGAACTTCCAGAATCTCATAGACCCAAAAAGTTGATTTCTGGTGCTTTTGTAGTAATCAGGCATAAATGGAACATAAACAGATTTATCTTCAACGTTTTTCTTGAATAAATTCCAACAAGTAATATTTTTGGTCATCAGCCTGATGAAGAAGGAGCTGGTGGAAATTTCTGAATCGGTTTTGTCATCCTTTTGGTCGTCTGGGAGAGATAAATAGATAGAAAAACAATATGCTTTGATTTTAAAAGTTTAAAGAAATTTTGGATTATTATTTCTTTACCTTCGATTTTATATCCTTCCTGTTCGAAAATATATTCGTGCATGTTGCATTTATTTTCTGCAACGTTCATGGTCACTTTTGAGGACGTCCAAATAATTTTATAAAAATATTTTGCAAAAAAATAATGACAGAGAGTTTAAACTAATTTAAAAAATGACAACTTGATTGTCTAAATTTATAATAATTGTCGACTAATGGTAAATAATTAAATTTTATGAATATATTTAGTTATTAGAAATTTACTGTCAATTTATGTGTGTCAATTTACAGATAAAATTATATTTGTTTGACATTTTTTGAGTTTTGCGATTTTTTTGCGAAAGTTTTGATTTTTTATTTTATTTTTTTTTTAGATATCCTAAGTACATGGCTCCTGAAGTTTTATTAGGAGGCCCTCAGGGCGATAATTATGGACCGAAAACCGATATTTGGACAATAGGTAATAAAATTTATATATATATATATATATATATATATATAATTTTATTTTTTTCTATAGGTTTAATAATATTAGAACTAAGTCTGCAGTGTATAGTTTGGCCAACTCTTAAACTACCACAGGTATGAATTACTTGAATTAATTTTCATTTATTACTAAATCTTGTATTTTATTGTTCTTATTATTATTTCAGATAATGAGAAAAATTTTAAGTCTTTTGCCAAATAAAAACATTCCGGAAAGAATTGCAAGCGAGCACAATTTACTAGAAAAATACCAGGTTAGAATAAAAAATACTTGTTTATGGTTGATTCTCAATACATTTACTACACTTTGAATTCTAAACACCGATCGATACGTAATTAGTAAATTTATTTATTAAAAAGATTTAGTAACTCACAATGTGCTATCTTTAATTAATGTATTTATATATATATATATATATATATATATATATGAGTAATTTTTACGTGCTAGGCGTAATATGTTAAATGCCTAGTTTTGCGACTAACTGAATACTAAATTTATAAACTAAAAATATATGAAATTTATTAAAAGTGCCTGAAAGGGGGAGTTCACAAATATACTCTAATACAACTATAAAATCAGGAAAATTTCTATAATTCGTTTAAAACGAATTGTAGCAATAAACATTGTCTATATCTTTGGAAAGGTAAATGGATTTATAATCATGACAAAATTAATGCATAAATCAGTATTCTTTTATATTGAAAAGAATTTATAATAATAATAGAATTGAAAGATACGACTTACTAATATTAAAATTAGATACGAGAATACTTATATCCGGTGCCTACATAAAGTATATATTGTTGTAATTTTATAAATATTTAAATCGAATTCTTAACAAAAATGATAATAAAAATATTTCAAAAGAATCCTTTAAAATGTTAAGTAATTAACTAGACTTTAAGGCAAGTTGTCTCTAGTTTTGTAAATGTGTAAATAATAATGTTTTGTTATATGCATATATAGGTTTTTTTAAAAAAATCTATAATTGACTTTCTGTAGGTTAGGTGATAGTAATCATACAAAAACAAAAATATCTTTACATTCTAGATTTGATTCTGAACATTTTGGGCATACCTTAGAAAAAATGGATGCATGTGTGTGTATGTTCGGATACAAATTTTCGACGATTTCGGGAACACTGTTCAATAGATTTTAATAATTTAGAAAACATTTGATTCCTATTGATAGTGAGATGTACTGATTAGTTTTTGGCGAAGGCAGGTCTAGCCGTTTCGAAGTGCCAAAAACAGTAACTTTTAAGTGAACAAAGCGTCCGATTTTAATAATTCAAAAAGCATTTTACTTGTATTGACAAGATGAAGAAGTGAATAAATTTTTGGAAAGGCAGGCCTAGCGGTTTTGGAGATCTAGTAAAAGAGTAGAAAAAATGCCATTTGGCGATCAAAAATGATCATTAGACATATGCACATCAAATTATCAGATATTTTGAAAATAAGTATAAACTTTGATGAAATTGCAATGGGGCGCTTATTCGCTGTGATATTTCTTCTCTAAAATAGCCGCACAGCACGATTGCTTTAAAAATAATCAAATATTTCAAAAAATTTAAAGTATAAAAATATTTTGAATATAAAAAGAATTCAAACTTTTCAAAAAAGTCAAATTTTTTTAAACATTTCAGAATTCTTATTTTTTTTCAAGTTTTCAAAAAAAATTAAAAGTTCAAAAAAAAAAAAAAATGGGACGGGAAGTTCTAGCAGTTTGCCCTAAAACACGATACCATGCACAACTAGTTTCTTATGGGGGTTTATAGCAATAGGAATGAAACTAGAGTTGACTTTGTGATTATACGAAAAATTATATATATATATATATATATATATATATATATATCGTTTGTTAATATATTAGTATATTATTCTTTTACACAAATTTAGTGTTCAATAAATTTTACATAATTAATTTTTTCTGTTTTTTCTGGTTAGGTATGTATATTTATATATACATACTTTTTATATTATTATATTTATTATCAATTTTTGTATTTATGTAATATGTTTTTTAGATTACTAACTGATGACACACATCACGTGTAGAAACGTTAAATATATATATATATATATATATATATATATATATATATATATTTATGTGTTTATATTTTTTTAGAGTTTAGATAACGAGTTGAAAGTATTTCTCGAAGCCTGTCTGAATATTAATCCGAAAGAAAGACTTACAGCTGAAGAATTGTTGAAATTGAAATTGTTTGAAGTTGTTGAGGATCATAAGGTTAGTTATAATTATATACATATGTATATATATATATATATATATATATGTATGCATATATTTATTTATATTTATATTATTTATATTTCTAGACTATATCAACTAAAAAATCCACGGACTTTGTCCATCCTTTGCTTCGGTGTGAACTTAAACAAATTTACAGTCTTTGGCAATTGGCAGGAGGCGATGTGCAATTGGAGTTGAAGAAACAAGGACTTTTGAAAAATAGGCCACCTATACTATCATTGCCAAAGTAAATAGAAACACAATATTTACTGTAATAAATTATTATTATTACTATTATTATTACTATTATTTTTTTACAGTTTGGTTATGCTCAACGGTATCACCTACGGTGCGGTTAAAGATCAATCGTCCCTGTACGATCCTAAAGTGGTTCAAATCCAGTTGACCAATTTGATGTCAAGATTGACACATGTCAAGTTCACACACTATTGGCCTTTGTTGCACTGTCCCAAATATAAAAATGGTAAGTTCTTTTGTATACGTAGATAGGCCTATTCATAGATTAAGGGATCACGTGATCGATTTTTCCAAAAATCGAAATTGAAAAATTTTGCTTTACTTTTAATTTTAATTCTGGCTAAAGTTCTAATGCTCTTTAAACAAATAATTTCAACTTTGCATTTCAGTTTATATAATTCTTATAAATGTTAAGACAATATTACAATATTAATAATAATCTATTTGAAAACATTCAGTATTCCTCGAACATTTCGTTACGGTACGCGAAGTTCCAGCAATTTGCCTTAAGGCAAGATGCCATACACCATTAGTATTTAATTAACCGCATATAAATTTTTAATTAAATAAATCGTCTGTTAATTCACAGTATTAAACATTTATTAGTTCATTTCATTATCAATTATCCATTCGTTGACTTAATTATTTTTATTATTATTTATTTGTTTAGTTGATAATTAATTTATCTATTTGATTAACTATTTATCTATTTGTTTGTTTCTATTCAATAGATAATATTTACTAGATAGTAGAGTAATGTAATAAATGCGAAATATTAATTAAATTAATAAAAATAAGTTAAATGAATGGTTAATAAAAGAGATTGATTAAAATTAAGTACATTTATAAAAAAAAATCATTCAAATTAATTAATAATCAAGAACATTGTTGAAAATATAACAAATTGATAATACTAAAAGTACTTAATAAACCATCAAGTTCATTATATCAAATCAAGTAAAATCTGAAAAATTCATGGATAAACACTGCAAATCTAGTAATTAATAAAAAAAATTAATCATTTTTATTAAAAATTCATTAGTTATGTAAATTGTTGAGTTGCTAATTAAATTGAAATATAATGACATTAATTATTAAAATGTCTCGATGAGAAGGGTATTTTTTTAAAACCTTTTCATTTATTTTATTTTAATTTAATATTTATTTTAATTTAATAGTTTTTAAAAGTCGTGCTTTGTACTTGTATAGTGATTGGTGCATTATATTTTCCGTGTTTTTTGTTAAAATTATTTGTATGCGCTGAAGATTGGTCAAATCAGGACCCGAAACGTTTGACAATATAACATTTTACTTCAATAAAATAGTTTCAATTAATGGATGGACGCCCAAGAACAACTTTATTATAATATTTTACAATCTGAGAAAACCTCTCAATTTATATTATATATATATATATATATATATATATATATATATATATATATGTACACCGAGTACCCCGTTTTACACGGTACTCGTTTTACACGTTTTCGATCCTACACGGTTTTTGAAAATAATGTTTTTTAAAGAAATTTGTTAATTTTGCATTTTCATGAAATTATAAACACTAAACTCTAATTTGCATATATCTGCAATAACATTTTTTTTGATTTACTGTCAAAATACAACTCTACAAAATGTATATTATAGTTATAAATTCTTAGTAATCTATAATGGAAATCTATAGATTAAGATAGGAACTTCCCGTTTTATGATCAAAACTAAATTTTATGTGTGTATTAACTAGTTTGCTTGAAATATTAAAACAAAGAGCTTCACTTATTGTTTTTAAATTTTGTTTTTTATTTTTTTTTCATAATTGATAGCGTAAATTTAACAAAGGCGAATAAATCTTCACAAAATCTTTAATTTATAGAAAAAATATAGTTTGACAATGGCAAAAGATGAAAATAAATAAACAAGAGAGTAACAAAAAGGTTATATCTTATTATTATTATTATTATTTGCTTTTATCTTACCTTATATTTTATATACGGATATCCTTTTAATGAAAATACTATCGTATTTTTCATTAAGCTACTAGATGTTAAATTATTTAGCAGTTGTAATAAATATTGTAATTAAAAAAATATATCTGTACGAACCGATTTTAATTTTCATCTATAAAGAAAATCCAATACTTAATACATTTAGTTTTTTTCATATTTGCTTTATTATTGAAATAATTAATTTTCATATATTTTATAAATTTGTTCGATGTTAATATATTCATATTTATTTCTCGATAAAATAGGCTTTTTTATTTGTGATTTTTGTTTAGAACGGATGACATCATCATTAATATTATTATATATTTAAATATTGTTACTGATAGAAAACCTGATGATGAAACATTTCTAGTTCCGAAACGTCGTAATTAAACATTTAGAAAAAAAACTTATTGTTTTTTGTTTGTTGGATTAACTGTTCGGTAAAGAAACCCTTATCAATTAAAATCTAGAAAATAACAATATATATATATATATATATATATATATACATATATGTATTTATTTATTTATTTATGTATATATTTTTTTTAAATTTCAGACATAATAAGAGGAAGTACAGAGTTACCTTTGATCATTCGAGAACGCGATACAGAATATCAGTTCCATCGAATAATTTTATTCAACAGGCTACTAAAGGTAACACACACACTAATATATATATATATATATATACAATATCAAGATATATATATATATATATATATATATATATATATATTTCAAAGTGACTAGCAGCCCATTCGTCGAAATAAAAAAGGTATAAAGTATTAAAAACTTTTATTTATACGTTTTGACACAAGATGCGTGTCATCATTCAGCAACACAGGACAAAAACACTCAAAAAAAAATTGTTTTATTTTTTAAAAAAAAAACTTATAACATATTAGAAGAATACTTTATACCTTTTTTATTTCGACGAATGGGCTGCTAGTCACTTTGAAATATGTTTCAACGTCGAAAAAACTATCAAGATATATATATATATATATATATATATATATATATATATATATCTTTTATTTCCCAGGGTTACCCTTACACAAGAGACATGCTCCTCTCCGAGTGCTCAATCGACATTCCGCCCCTATATAGAGGTGAAATTTGGGCATGTCTCCTCGGAGTAAACTGTTTGGAGATCGAACGAGAAAAATATGCATCCATCGACAAGGAAACTCCAACACAGACCGACAGGCAGATCGAAGTGGACATTCCAAGGTGCCATCAGTACAATGAATTATTATCATCCCCTACAGGGCATGCGAGTCTGAAGAGGATATTGAAGGCTTGGGTGCTGAGCAATCCCCAGTACGTGTATTGGCAGGGGTTGGATTCGTTGACTGCGCCGTTTTTGCATTTGAATTTCACTGACGAAGGTAATAATAGATGATTGTGTTGGGTAATAATAATAATGGGTAGTCAAACTTCAACACGATTCAGGGAAGAAATAGTGTGAGAGGTTTTTTCGTATTTCCATTTCGCACCGCAGTCCCTGAGATGGGCTTATTAACTTTCTTAATAAGTTTAAAACGTAAACTTAAAATACAAATCGAGTTTTTGAGAAAACTGAGTATCGGATTTGAATGATCTAAAAAACATTCAATTTGTAATGATTAGGAGAAGAGGTGATTAGTTTTTGACAAGGGCAGGTCCCGCCATTTCGAAGATACAGAGCAAAAAATGGCAGTTTTTTGAGTGAACTCAGCGTCAGATTTGAATGATCTAAACCGTTTCTGCTTGTATTGACAAAACAATTGCTTTTGAGGATAAAAAATTGTTCCATCTTTTTTTATTTTCCATAATTTTTTTTTTATAATTTTGGATTAAAAATTCAAAAAATTACCCAGGCTAAGCACAGTCTAAGCGCCACTCTGGTACAGATGTTTACCCAAGTGCGTTTAGACTGTTTATGCACTGGAGCACTTTTCCAATTTTGTGAAAACTATTGAAAAATGTGAAAATGCCCCCAAGCTAAGCACAGTATAAGTGAAAATGTCGCACAGAATTATTTGCAAATGCGCTTAGACTGTGACTTTACGGGAGCACTTTTTCAATTTGTGTAAATTAGACGATTGTTAATGTTCTGGAGATAAATTGATTTATTAACTTCCCGAAGGAGAAGTTTATGTTTTCATCAAAAATTCCGATTCGCTAATTTTATGTTTTCTCCTGGACGTTGCAAGCCATTCTGAATCGAATGAGACCAAATTTGGAAAAAGTATGTATGTGTGTGTGTGCGTGTGCGCAAACAAATTTTTTGCCGTAAATCGACGTGTTCTCAAAAACTGCTAGACCGATTTTAAAATTTAAAAGCCATTCGATGTATCTCGATAAGGACTAGCGTTTATCAATTTTGTGCGACCATCGGCCGAGCCGTTTCTTCGTAAATAGCAGAAAAGTGAAAAATTTTTGACCACGTTTTAGCCCGCAGTTCTGAATCGATTTTGAAAATTCAAAAACCGTTCGAAAGATATTGGTTGAGAATCGTGCTGATTAGTTCTTGGTAAAGATCGGCCGGTCATTTTCTTGTAATAAAGTGTTAAAAAATTTTTTTCGACGATTTTCGAATATACAATTGCGCGTTGCAACTAACTTTATTTAAATTTTTTGTATCAGAACATATAAAACAGTTCATGGTAAAATATATTAAATTGTATCTAGTTTCCAAAAAGTAGAGTGCCCTAGAAAAAATCTTCAAGTTATATGAAGAAATGTAAAAAAATGTCCGGTATCTACATATTGGAAATTTGTAGAATATACAATCGCGCGTAGCAACTAGCTTTATTTAATTTTTTTGTATCAGAACATATAAAACAGTCTATGGTAAATCATAGTAAATTTAATATAGTTACTACAAAACTAAAAAAAGTAGAGTGCTCGAGAAGAAATTTTCTAGTCATATGAAGAAATGTGAAAAAATAACCGCTTCTTACCAATCGATAGAATATTAACTTAAAATACAATTTTCATTTTATCAGTTTTTTTATTATTCAATATATGATTATCACAAGGTCGTTCATCTATATTTTATATAATTATAAAATTTATAATATAAAATTTTAGCATAAAATTGTTCTAAATATCATATACGAGGGCATAAATAAAATTAACTCTATATTCAAATAAATTTAGCACCCAAAACTTGTTTTAGTTTACTTTGAATCAATTTTCTAATCAGACGTTTCATCGACGTTTTTTTAAAAACGCCTGAACCGATTTCAGAAATTTAAAAGCCATTTGATGTATCTCAATGATGACTTTAGTTTGTCATTTTTGTGAGACGATCTGCCGAGCCGTTTTTTTGTAATTTGGAAAAAAGTGCTCATATTATCGAATCGATTTTAAAAAATCAAAAACTGTTTGAGGGGAATGATACCGATTCGTGTTAGGTGAAAATCTACAGAGCAGTTTTTTTGTAATTAACTGTTGAAAAAAATTTAAGCCGATTTTTATGGAACTTTTTTTGGTTCCATAGTCACATTCTAAACGCTTTAAATCTAAGGACGCTTAGTTCACTCAAAAACTGCCATTTTTGCATATTTAGCATCTTCGAAATGGCGGGACCTGTTTTTGCCAAAAACTAATCAGCACATCTCCCTATCAATAGGAATCGAATGTTTTTTAAATCATTCAAATCGGTTGATCCGTTCTCTCAAAAACTCGCTTTCTACTTTCTGCACTCTTTGCTCCATATCTCCGTAACGGCTGGACCTGCCTTTGCGAAAAACTAATCAGCACATCACCCTGTCAATAGGAATCGAATGTTTTTAAACCATTCAAATCGGTTGATCCGTGCGCCCGAAAACGTGGACGAAAAAATGCGGACATACAAAACACACACACACATCCATTTTTTCTGAGGTATGCCAGTAAAATGTTCAGAAACCTTCAAAACGTCGAGAAATGCAAAAATTTTCATTTGCGATTTTTGGCCCATTACTATAACTACCCTACGGGAAGTTAATTATAAAAATTATTGATTTTTGAAAATTAACTTTTAGAAAATTCTTCGAGTTAACGTGTTTGTTCGTTTCCAATTATGTGTAATAAATCCACTCGGATTAATATTAATGACTCATGAATTAATTTATTTTTTTATTGATTAAGTCGATTATTTAAACATATCGGAAAGTTCACGTAACTTGCCTCAAGGCAAAGTACCAATACCAACTAGTTCTATTTTTTAGCTCTTGCTTACGCAAGTCTCTCAAGATTCGTGAGCAGGTATCTTCGCGGATTTTTCCGCAAGGATAATTCCAAGGTGATTGGGGAATATCTTGGAAAATTTTCCCAACTAACAGCATACCACGAGCCCAAATTGGCAGTACATTTGGCGAACATTGGATTTATTCCAGAGTTGTTCGCTATTCCTTGGTTTTTGACCATGTTCTCACGTAAGTAAATCAAAAAACTGTAATTTATTTAAATAAAATAATTATTTATACCAAAATCTTTCACTTCAGATGTCTTCCCCATTCACAAAATCCTGCATCTCTGGGACAGACTTTTGTTAGGCGACAGCTCCTTCCCTCTTTACATAGGACTATCGATCCTAAAACGTCTCGAATCAGTCCTGATGTCATCAGGATTCAACGAATGCATCCTTTTATTCTCCGATCTGCCAGAACAGGACATAGAATCCTGTCTGGAGTACTCCACTGGTCTTTACGAGAGCACCCCCAAAAGTATCACATGGAGATGCAACGAGGCTGATAGGGGAGACCAGGAGAAATTAGACGAATTCGATATATCTGATGTCGAGATTAAGGATTTGCAGAAGGAGTTTTGTCCTAGGATCAGTGCTAAGGATTTTGTGGGGCTTTTGAGGGAACGGAATGAGGAGCTGCTGGCTGTTGATATACGCAGTTCTATACAGTAAGTGGAATTGATAGTTTTAGAAGTATTAGCAAGTTTTAACTAGAGTAACCGCTTAAATAAGGGTGATTTTTGGGAATTTATATTAAAAAAACTACTTTATCAATCATTTCAAAATTTTAGGAATATATTTATACATGTTTTAAGAATACATAGTAAAATTTTTGAAGAAAAAAATTAAATATTTTTTAAATTATCGTCGATGTCCAACGGCGCGATAAAAAAAGGCCCTTAACTGCTGCAGTGATTCCGGCCTTCTACTTGGATGAAATTTAAAACCAAAAATTCTCGTTAAACTAGATAATATTGTCTGTAAAATGAACTACGATGAAAAAAATAAATCAAAAATTGACAAAATGGCGGCGTTTTTATTAAAAAAAAAGTCGAATTTTACCCAAAATTTTGGTCGTTTTTCGACAGCCAAAATTTGATTTTTGATCCGATCAAAAAATCGATAGTTCATTTTACGGAGAACTATATAAAGAACATGTAAAAAAAATTTGATAGTGATCGGATCATTTATTTTTGAGTAATCGCTGCAGCAAATTCGGAAAATGCCGTTTCGAGAAAAACGCGTTTAAAGAATAAATGATTGTTATACTATATACTATATATATATATACTCTTTAAATGGCTGTAACTCAAAAACTATTTGAGATATCGATTTAAAATTTTTATATATTATTTTTAAAGGTATAATCTACCGAAATATGACAAAAAACAAAAATCGATTTTTTCGAAATTTCACACTAGTTGTGCCCCTTAAACGGTTTGCCTGGGGTAAAAGATTTATATGACGAATTTGTACTAAATTAATATGTAATTTAAAATATTGTCTAATATTATAAAGTCCTACAGCAACTCGATGTATTTTAAAATCTTTTTGAACGTTGTAAGTACATTGATCTAGTTTTATTTCACGTGTATAGAGGTAGATACGTTTATTATATTTTGTAACTTTTGAATCGTTTGTCTGGGTTTGTTTTCTCAATGGATGTTTGATTGAATTTTGAAGGACCAATTTGTTGTAAACACTTTTATTTGTAACTTTATGTATTTAATTTATATTAATTACAAGTTATAGTTCTATTTACAATAATTTTAAATGTTGTTTTTTATAGTATTGATTGACTTGATTTTTTATTGATGATATTTTGTTTCATATTAATATAAATCGCACCCTTTGATATGGCGCGAACAGGGGTGAATGAAATATTTTGTGAATTTATGCAAAATTAAATTATTGATAATATTGTCTAACATTATAAAGCCTTACAGCAACTCGGTATACTTTAAATTGAATTTGAAACTTGACAAATGTTCTAAACGCATTTTGCGCTTTATGCATTTATTGTAAACTAATATGTGCATTTATTTAGTATATTTCTTGTAACTTTTGAACCGTTTGTTCAAAATTGTAAATAAAATATTCTATAAATTTGTTCAAAATTAAATTAAGTATAATCTTATCTAATATAATAATGCCCTACAGCAGCTTGGTATATTTTAAAATCGCCTTAAAGCACAGAATATTTATATTAGTATGTTCATTTTTTATACTTAAGGGGGTATTCAAGTGTAGAGCGATGCATTTTAGGTCATTTTTAAAGTATCGTAAAAGAAAGCAATGAATGATTTTACCATCCATTTTTTCACCACTTGTTTGTTAATATTATTAAAATACAAAACAAAAATTAAAAAATAAAAAAGTTGAAAATTGTAAAAACTGGCAGCTGATTAAGTGGGTGGTCTCAAAAAATTGGCACCTTAGTCTTGACATGATTTCATCCCTCCTAGCCATCGGAAATTCAAAAAATAAATAGATTATTAATCTACAATGATGTCGCAATCGGCTGAACTAGCGATGAGCAAAAAAATTTTTTTTCACAAATCGGCGACTGTGTGAAAAAAAAAGTTGTTTTTACTGTTCTTTTGAGTTTTTCGATTTTTTTAAAAATATTAAAAATTGGAATTTGTGGATAATCCTAGTTCGGGCCATAGATAGGTCTATAAACAAGACTCTCTGAACATTTCAAGTGAATCGGTCGATTAAAACTCAAAAAATCGTGTCAACAGCACTAAAAAAAAAGTCTGTTCTGAGAAAAACGCATTTAAAGTTTTGCGTCAAGCCAAACCAGTATGGAGACCGAGTCAGTAAAATGCCTATATCTCCGAAAATAATTCAAATTTTCAAAAACCTTCTTGTACCCATATTCTTAGATACTTAAACTTTGAAAATATGAAATAAAAAAAATCGATTTTTTTTAATTTGTATACTAGAATTACCCCCAAACAAAAATCGGTGCGCTTCAAATCTCGATACAAAAAAAAAACTAATCAATGAAGTGCCTCTGTGCTCTAAATGGTCTACAAATCTTAAACCGTTTGATTAATCTGAATGATGTATTAAGCAAATATGTTCAAAATTAAGTTATCTACGACTTTTACTTGCAACATAATGTCGTGAAGTTTCTTGGTATACTTTTAAATTGATGTCGAATATTGAGTTATAATTCTGATGCGTTGTCTAAAGAATCAACATTGAATAATTGGATTAACTAAATAATATTTAGTTTTATTTTTTCCGAGTTATTGCAGAGCCTAATTTGTAGTTTATTTAATTTGTCTCACATATAATTTTCACGAATCGGTTTATCTTTTTTTTTACAGATTTAGTCGGGCTTGTATCACCGGCAGCATTAACATTCCTTTCACATCCGTCCAATTAGACGCCAAAGATTTGGACGCATTTGGAGCCCCTGGTGTTGCCATTCAGAATCGACTTGGACAGGCCAATATTGTCGTTTTAGGCTGCGAATACGAAAACGTACTATTGGTAAGTAATAAATATATATATATATATTAGGTAAATTATCTAGTTTATGCATCTATTTATTATATCTCCTCTTGTAACTCTCAAACCGTTCGTCTAACTTAAATCAATTGTTCTACAGATTTGTGAAGAATTTAATACCCTATAAAAGCTTCTAATATTATAATGCCCTACAGCAAGTCGGTATACCGAAAATATTTACTTTTGTTTTCAGTTTTCCAAATTTCTAGTCGAATGTGGTGTGCCAAGAGTTTCGCATCTGCACGGAGGATTTAACATTTTATATTCAGTCACGCCAAATATATTACATGCTGCAATTAATTCTATAAATTTATAAATGAATTATATATATATATATATATATATATATATATATACGAATTATACACAATATATAAATCAAATTTTAATAACGTACTGTTTTTTTTATTCAAGGCCTTTGTTAATATATATTTGTCTTTAAAATAAATAAATATACTTGAAAAAAAATCTTTGTTGCTCTCTTTTACAGGTTAGTTAGTCTAAATTACATATAGTAATTAATTACCAATTCATAATGGTAACTATTATCTGATATACAACTCTTTATTATATATAAATATATATATAATATATATATATATATATATATATATATATTATTTAAGAATATAGTTAATGATGAATACTTGCATATATTTTATAAATCGAAATAAATGCCATTAGTATCTACTTATCTGGATATTTTATTTATTAGTTTTATATTTCAGGTATTGGGTAATTATATATTATATTTCAAATGCCAAATCAATTAATCATCACGGTTCCAGTTAGTTTTTCAATTAAGATAATCTTCTAAATCAGATATAATTTATTTATTGCAATAATAAAATCATTCACTAAGTATGTACTTTTATAAAAACTTATAATTTAAATAACATATTTTTGTCATGAAATAAGTTTATTTGTTTAAAGATATTGATTTATCTATTTAATAACACTTTTATTGTTAAAATTAAAGATTCAAAACAAAATTGGTTCGAGTTTCCGAAAAAGAGGCGTTCGAGTCACTGAAGCGCCATCTTCGACCGAACGAACTCGCACGCTCTGTAGTCGCACATCTACAAGTTTTCTTTGCACATCTATGGTTTATGCCAGTCTGTGGGATGTCATGGCATAAATTCGTTCATTTTCTCGTCGGAGTTGGTCGAACAAACATCGTGGAATAAAGAGGCCTCCCTGCCAATTGCTGCCTGGACTATAATTCGGTACGTTGTACTTGTGCTAAATACATTTCGCTTTACGGATTCACTCGGATTTCATTTCGTGTTCGACAGTGTTGCGCTAATACTAAAGTCGTATTAGTGCCATAGACGCACGCCGGATATGTTTCATTTCATAATGTCTACTGTTAAATAAAATTATTTCGTTGACTATGCAAAAGTTTACAATCGAAAGGCTGCCGGACCTTGTGCAACGTATTCGAAATTTGTGAATATTTTGAACTCGGTTATAAGAATTCCGGGAATATTTTTTATTCACTATTGAAAAATCCCGGAGTTGTATAAATTCAACCGCTATTTTATAAACATTTTTATCATTGAGAGACTTGAGTATTTTGTGAGTATATGTATATATTATTCAATTTTAATATTTATTTATATTATCACCAGGTGCTAACTCATTTCGATTTGTAGATAACAAGAATTGCGTATATTTGACCACAATCATTCTATGATTCTCTGGAGCAACTGAATTGTACTCAAAGGCAGCTTTGGTGACGTATCAACATCATTCACTAATCTCCATTAGTGTTTAGCATAATTTAATACTAATTTCTGTATATTACAGGTGCAGGTATGTTTGAGTTTGGGGCAGTCAGTTACTACAGTAGTTTTGTGCAGAATCTTTCAGTTTTCATGCTAATATTATTACTGCAATGCACTCATTCTGGTTTTATTAGAATTGCATTTGGCCGAATGTATTTATTAAACAGTGAATTGACCCAAGATATTAAATGATAATTTTAGTTTTTGCTTCATTTTTTACAAATTTACATAATCATTAAAGCGTTAGCTTTTACGATTCCGATGACCATTTGCATGATTTGCATCCATTTACTAACTAATAATACTAACAAACACTAACAGACACTAATCTATTTAACTACTAATAAATAATATGGTCGTTTGAATCTTTTAGGATTATGCAATGTGTATTTGATGTATTACATTAAATTTAAATTTTCACTGTTTTCAATTTTTGTCAATGCATTTCATACAAAACCAAGTGCAATTATTAAGCCGCTAGTAAATTTCTGCATTATATTTCTGGGCATCAAGATGAAATCACATGAATACTACAATATAGCATACCAAGCAAATTGAGTATTGAACAGCCAAGTATAGGATGAAAATGTAGTTTACATTCAATATATTATTATTGATGAATAATACTTCATATGTTCTATATTTGCCGTTTTGTAACCTTATAATTTGTTTTTAGGCATATTTAAACAGCCACTGTGATTTCAACACCATGGACAACTGGATTGATACGATTGAAATATTCATTTTTATGACCACAAACTTTTTAAAGAACTATGAATAAATGCTCTTTGAGCAAGTTCAAGTAAGTGACTAATAACCAATATTTAGCTTAACATTATTTTTATGTAATGTTAATTTGTTTAATATTTAATTTATTTTTGCATATATTTTACAACTTATTACTGCTGCTCTGCTCACTGACTCCTTCACCAGGAATCTTTCCAGAAACATTATACCAGGTGTGTGTTTATCCATAATCAGTACAAATATGAACAATAAATAACCTGTTTATTTTTTTTCAGGTCCTTTCAACCGCTGCTGCTCTGCACTCTGACTCCTTCACCAGGAATCTCACCAGAAACATTTTACCAAGTATGTGTTTATCCATTACCAGTATAAATGCAAACTTTATTAAAATGTTTCTTTTTTGCAGATTTTCTCAATTCAACTATCACTGCCCCTGATGCTAAAAACATCATGAGTTTGGAGTACTCATTCATGTAAATGATTCGCAAGTGGTTTTTTTTAATAACTGCCCATAATTATGCATGATTAACTTAACTCTTACTAAATCACTAACACGACTAACCTCACTAACTTAATCAGTTATTATAAAAACCATTTGCTGGGTTTTACAATGAATGTCTTGCTGAGGTTGCTTGAAAGACAGCGCTGATTGATTTATCAGGTAATTTATTTTTTATAGTATATTTTATGAGACTTGTTACTAATTTATTGTTTTTGTTCATAGGGTAAACGAAAACTTCAAGCCAAGTAGTCTTCAACTCTCAACTTACTCAAGACTTGTTCTCCAGCAAAAACAATCGCTCGAACTACTAATTATGTCGTCCTAAGTAACTACCTCCGTCTTGTCGTCAGGGAAGGTGTCTACTGTGATATATAGATTAGTTAAGTGCATAAATGTTAATGAAATAATGAATAAATATATTGTATTTAATTCAATTTGTTGTTTTAATTTAATTATGAGCCACTTTACGGCCAAATTACATCAAGCTGTAGCGTAAATTACGAAGATATTTAAACATTTCTAACTTAATAACAAAAATTTCTTGTGTTATCAATAGGGATACTTATTAAGTGCACTTTTTAGTGTAGACAATTGTGCAAAACAGTTTCTTTACTGTTTGGGTGTTTGCAACCATCTTGCCGCATCTTGCTTAAGCTCTTTATACCTTTGCTTTTCGATTCGGTGGAAACGCGTTGACAATGGACTTTGCTTTTTTCCAAACACTTATGTTAGTCGAGTGCCTTAAATATTTAATACGTCGGACCATTTCTTTAAATATGGTGCACTCTTTTTCTTAGCTATAAATATCACTTAATTTAATATCATCCTGTGTTATTAATACATATATAATACTAAAATATATATATATATATATATATATTATTGTGTAATAGCAATCGATAATGCTGCATTGTGTAAGAGCGATGCTCAATTCGATATCGATTGCAGTCATTATCACAATCAGCAAATATTTTAAATACGCCATCGTAAGGTGTTTGTAGTCCCAGTTTAGAAGTATATAAAGTACCGATATTAGTTGGTACATCAGAGTTGTTTTAATCATAATCAGAGTTGCTTTTGTCTATCACAACATAGTTGCTGTTGGCCTCAGCAAAGTCGCGATATTAGTCGTATAAAGATAATTGTTAATCATTGTAAGTGGGTGCTAATAAAGTATTGTTAAAAATAGTCAATCAGTGTTGTTCTTTAGAAGTGACAAGATATTTCAGCCAATATCTTAATAAAGAACTCAAGGCAATCCTAAGCCTACTATTACTATAACCACCGCTCGGTAAGGCTGTATTGACTAGGAGGTCAATACGAACCACGTTACCAACAACCCCAATACATTTCAATATATATATATATATATATATATATATATATATATATTATATACGTGTATACATTAGATAAATGTTAATGTATTTTAGTCGTTTTCATTACTGCAATTGTAAGAATAAATTAATATAATTGTATTATTAAATACTGTGATACATTAAGAGTTTTGAATAAAACTAACTAAACTTTATTTGGAGTGTTTCATTTCACACCATTTTCAGTATTATATATATTAGAAACACACCGTACAGGTGCAGTTACTATAAACTGATAAGCTAATGTTATCATAAACATTAATATACTCATTAATTCGTTCTTCGAAGAGGATTTATTATTTTGAATAAATTTCATATAATATATTTTTTTGTAATCTAATTCTATGATGATTAATACTGTTAATGTAGTTATAAATTTGGCCATTTTAAATAGACTAATCTATGGTTTTTCACTCATTTTTCAATCACTTTAATCTATTATACTAATATTTAAAGTCTTAATTAGTTCATTTTAATTATTATACTTTGAATATTGGTAAGTTTTACTTATCTATACTTATAAAAAAAAATTACTTAACTATAACTTGTGAAAAAAATTCAAGTTCTCAGTCTTGTGTTATTTTCTTCTTTTGCACAAGAAT